TAATTCAAATTGGAACCACCACTGCAAGATTCTTTTGAGCTATTTTATTTCTTATTTTTTATAAGAAAGAAATAATTATTATATATAATATAATCATTTATATTATTATATTAATTTTGTTATAATTATTCTTATTCTTTAATTCTTATTTATTACTTATTTCAAGTATTTAATCTTTGATTTCCCTTTTATTTCCCTTTTATTTCAGTGGGTCCTGCTGGTTTCAGGGAGAAAATCAGGAATTAACTGAGGGGAAAAAATAATAATTTTGAGTTTTAAATTCAGCTCTTCCTGATTTTTAATTCAAATTGGAACCACCACTGAAAGTTTCTTTTGAGCTATTTTATTTCTTATTTTTTATAAGAAATAAATAATTATTATATATAATATAATCATTTATATTATATTATTATAATATATTTTGTTATAATTATTCTTTAATTCTTATTTATAACTTATTTCAAGTATTTCATCTTTTATTTCCCTTTTATTTCAGTGGATCCTGCTGGTTTCAGGGAGAAAATCAGGAATTAACTGAGGGGAAAAAATAATAATTTTGAGTTTTAAATTCAGCTCTTCCTGATTTTGAATTCTGATTTTTTTGGGTCCCCCAGGTGAGCAATCGTTACCTGTCACAGCTGAAGGATGCTCACAAAAACCATCCCTTCATCAAGGAGTACCAGGCCAAGGTAGGGAGGGGAAAAAATCCAAATAATAATAATAGAAATCAATCAAATAAATAGAATTTTTGGAAATAAATAGAATTTAGGATAATTTATTTATAGGGTGTGTGGTATTGTACAATTATAATGTTATGAGGTATTTAAATTATATTGTATTTTATTGTGTTGTGTTGTATTAATTATATTATGTTGCATTATATTACATGATATTATGTTAATTAGATTATATTTTATATAGAATATTATTAGATTGTATTATTACATTATGTTATGTTAATTAGATTATATTTGATATAGAAAATAAGATTAGATTGTATTATATAATACAATAGAATGTAATGTAATATAATTATTAGATATTGTATTATCTTACATTACATTATATTATGTTAATTAAATTATATTTGATATAGAATATAAAATTAGATTGTATTATTATATATAATACAATATAATGTAATATAATTATTCTATTAGATATTGTATTGTATTAATTACATTTCATTACATTACATTATATTATATTAATTAGATTATATTTTACATATGAGATTTTATTATATAATACAATATAATATAATTCTATAAGATATTGTATTAATTATATTATATTACATTATATTAATTGTATTATATTTTATATATAATATAAGATTAGATTGTATTATATATAATATAATGTAATATAATTATTCTATTAGATTATATTATTATATTACTTTATTATATTATTAAATTACAATATCTAATTATCTATTGCATTGTATTTAATATTTATATCATTTATTTTTAAAACGAATAAATAGAATTTTTGATGGAGCCAGGGGGACAAACCAAACCAAATTCAATTTCCAAACAAAATCCCGAGGGCACAGCTCCACCTCATTGAGCTTCTCCAGCTCTTTTGGGAATTCCAAGCCTGGAATAAAAGCTCTGAGGTGCAGATTTTTTAATCCAGGTGGGAATTTTTGTGTTCAAACAGGAAAAAAAAACCCCAAAACTGGGAGAAGAAATTTGGGGAGAGGGGAAGGGAAAAGCAGGAAAAAAATCAGGAAAACTGGATAGGTGGGATTTGCTGCTGGAATTCCTTGGGATTTAGGGAGCTGGCTGGGGTCTGTCCAGCTAGGGGAGAGTTAATGAATGTAAATTTTATTGGGGTTGATTGAGAGGGATTCATTAGGGGTTAATTAGGAGTTAATTTCCTGCCTTTCTTTCTGGCTGTGGTTGCAGGAGAACGACTTTGACCGCCTGGCCCTGCAGTACACACCCAGTGCCTGAGGCCTGGGAATGCTCCTGGGGCAGGGAAAATCCTCCTGGGGCAGGGAAAATCCTCCTGGGGCAGGGAAAATCCTCCTGGGGCAGGGAAAATCCTCCTGGGGCAGGGAAAATCCTCCTGGGGCAGGGAAAATCCTCCTGGGGCAGGGAAAATCCTCCTGGGGCAGGGAAAATCCTCCTGGGGCAGGGAAAATCCTCCTGGGGCAGGGAAAATCCTCCTGGGGCAGGGAAAATCCTCCTGGGGCAGGGAAAATCCTCCTGGGGCAGGGAAAATCCTCCTGGGGCAGGGAAAATCCTCCTGGGGCAGGGAAAATCCTCCTGGGGCAGGGAAAATCCTCCTGGGGCAGGGAAAATCCTCCTGGGGCAGGGAAAATCCTCCTGGGGCAGGGAAAATCCTCCTGGGGCAGGGAAAATCCTCCTGGGGCAGGGAAAATCCTCCTGGGGCAGGGAAAATCCTCCTGGGGCAGGGAAAATCCTCCTGGGGCAGGGAAAATCCTCCTGGGGCAGGGAAAATCCTCCTGGGGCAGGGAAAATCCTCCTGGGGCAGGGAAAATCCTCCTGGGGCAGGGAAAATCCTCCTGGGGCAGGGAAAATCCTCCTGGGGCAGGGAAAATCCTCCTGGGGCAGGGAAAATCCTCCTGGGGCAGGGAAAATCCTCCTGGGGCAGGGAAAATCCTCCTGGAACACAAAAATTCCCCCTGGAACACAAAAAAATCCCTCTGGAACTCAGAAGATCTCCTCTGGAACCCAGAAATTCCCTCTGGAACCCAGAAATCCCATCTGGAACACAAAATCCCCTCTGGATCTGACAATTCCTTTTGGGAGAAAGAAGAATCCCTGGCCTTGCTGCTGGCAAAACCCCCAAAATGAAATTAATAAATAAAAAATAATAAAGAAAATAAAAATGAAAATAAAAATTCTTGTGGCAGAGAATTTTTCCCAATCCCTGCCGGGTCCAACCTGGATTTTTGGGAATTTTTTAGGAATTTTTTAGGAATTTTTTAGGAATTTTCCCAGGTTTACTCTGGTTTTTTAGGAATTTTTTAAGGAATTTTTTAGGAATTTTCCCAGGTTTACCCTGGATTTTTAGGAATTTTTTAGGAATTTTTTTAGGAATTTTTTTAGGAATTTTTTTAGGAATTTTTTAGGAATTTTCCCAGGTCCAACCTGAATATTTAGGAATTTTTTAGGAATCCCTGCCAGCATCCAACCTTTTTTTTTTATTTTATTTAGGAATTCTCATTCCACAGAATTCCCCCCAATCCCCACCGGTCCCGAACTTCACTTTTAACAACCATCACCACCTCCCATGGGAATTTACCCCCAAAATTTGGGATTTCCCTTGGAATTGTCCCTGAAAGGTCCCTTTGTGTCCCCTGGCTCCATCCCAGCCTCCATTCCCGGGATGAATATTCCCTTTGTGCGGCTCTGAAAGGCTCCAGTGTGCCGCAAAATTCCTTCAGAATTCCTTCAGAATTCCTTCAAAACCCCCAAAATCCACAGGGGGAACCTCCGGAGCGGCCAGGTCGAGAAATCCCGGAGAAATCCGGCTTTAAATCCGTTTTATTTCGCTTTTTCCTTTCCCTGGCAGCTCCAGGTGAGGATGAGGAGGATGAGGATGGAGTTCAGGGAGTTCTTTTCATCAGGGCTCACCTCTGGAAAGGACTTGGAATTTTTATATCATTTATTTATAAAACAAATAAATAGAATTTTGTTTTACCTGGACATCCTCAAGGTGCATTTTATGACTCCAGACCCACCTTAAAACTGATTTTTGTTATTCCAGACCCACCTTAAAACTGATTTTTGTTATTCCAGACCCATCTTAAAACTGATTTTTGTTATTCCAGACCCATCTTAAAACTGATTTTTGTTATTCCAAATCCATCTTAAAAGTTTTTATTCCAGACCCATCTGAAAAATGGAATTTTATTATTCCAGATCCATTTTAAAAGGTAATTTTGATTATTCCAGACCCCCCTGAAAAGTGAATTTTCCTATTCCAGACCTTTAAACTGCATCAGGTGCCCAAAACTGGGCAGAGGGGAAATGCAGGACACACCTGGAGCTGCTGGGGAGGGGGAAAAAATACCTGGATTGGCACCTGAACCCCCAAATTCGGTCCTGGATCCCCCAAATTCGGTCCTGGATCCCCCAAAGTGGCACCTGAGACCCCCAAATTGGCACCTGAGACCCCCAAATTGGCACATAAACCTCCAAAATTGTACTTGAATGTCTTCAATTGGCACCTGAGACCCCAAATTGGCACCTGAACCCCAAAATTTGCTCTTGGATCCCCCGAAGTGGCACCTGAATCCCCCAAATTCACACTTGAATCCCCTCAATTGGCACCTGAAACCCCAAACTGGCACCTGAAACCCCAAAACTGGTACCTAAACCTCCAAGTTTGCTCTTGAATCCCCCAAATTGGCACCTGAGACCCCAAAATTGGCACCTGAGACCCCCAAATTGGCACATAAAGCCCCAAAATTGCACTTAAATCTCTTCAATTGGCACCTGAGACCCCAAATTCGGTCCTGAATCCCCCGAAGTGGCACCTGAGATCCTCCAAAATTCTCTTGAATCCCCTAAAGTGGCACCTGACACCCCCAAAGTGGCACCTGACACCTCAAATTAGCACCTGAGACCCCCAGATTCTCTCTGGAATCCCCCAAATCGTCACCCGAGCCCCCAAATCTTCATCTCCGCTGTCTCAAACCCGTTCCAGGGCTCTTCGGGCACCTCCCAGCCGCCACCCCCTCCCCGAAGCTCCCCCGGGGGGGATCCTGGAGCTTCCCCCGGTTCCATCCCCGCCGGTACCGAGCTCCCCGCTCCGTTCCTCTCCGTTCCCCTCTCCCGAGCCGCTCCCACCGCTTTCCTTTCCCCTCCCGAGCCGCTTCCCCCCCTCCGGGAGCCCCGGGACCGGCCCAAGGGGGGCCGGGCCGTGCCGGGGGGCGGCTCCGAGCGCGGCACCGGCGCGGGGGGAGCTCGGTGCCCGCCCCGCCGGAGCCTGCGCGGGGCCTCGGCCGTGGCAGCTCCGCGATGCCGCCTCCGGAGCCCATGCCCGGTTACGGCGAGCTGCTCCGCCGGGGTTACGGCAGCTTGGCCGCGGCCGCCCGGGGCTGCGGGGACTGCGGCTGGGAGCTGGCGCTCCGCACCTGGGCCGAGAACGCGCAGCTGGGCTGGGCGGAGGTGCTGCTGTGCGGGCTCTGCGCGCTGGGCTGGACCGCGCTGCGCCGCGCCTGCTCCCGCCGCCTCTTTCGGGTCAGTGCCGGGCTCCGGGATGCGCCGGGATGGGCCGGGATGCGGGAAGGATGCGGGAAGGATGCGGGAAGGATGCGGGAAGGATGCGAGATGGAAGCGGCGAGAGCAGCGCCCGCCCCCGGCTGCGGGGTTGGCGATGGGGGGGAAGCGGTTCTGGCGTGGTTTATGGGGTGAGGGATGCGCCCCGCTTCTTTTCCCGGATTCCCGGGTGTGGAGCATCCCGAGGGATCGGGAGCGCCCCCCCCTCCCCCCC